CCATAAAGGATTTCCGCCGCTCTTTTCTCCCCCTCGGAGGAGGGTGAGTGTGGCGCGCTTAGAGCGTGCCTCTCTCCCGCATTGTATAATAATGTATCGCATATGGCGCATCTTGTAAAACTCTGCGGGCGTTCCTCCCTCCCTCTTTTCCCTTTCCCTCCCGCCGCTCCGTCTTGTCCCAAGCCGAGGATGAAGACCCGAATGAGGTCGTTCCCGGGGTCCCGGTTCATTCATCCGGCTCGACGGGGCCTTAGAGGTGACGAAAGGTCCCGAAAAACCGCCTCCAGGTCACGTTCGACGGGGGGCCAAAGTCTGCGGATTTCGGTCGGCCTTCGGTTCCCGATCAACGTTGCTCCGACAACGTTTTACCTGCATTGGTTGGCCGGGTCGGTCGGACGCTCGCAGAAGTACGGGGTGTGGTGTTTCACCGAGAGAAGTATAAATAAGGGGGGAAGAATGTTTTATGGGATTTTGAGGGTAACACGGTTCGGTTGCCGAGGGCTTTATAGTTCGCGTTATGCGTCACATCGCGACTGTCCCGCGCTGTTTCACGCTATGTCTCATGTTTCCGCCCGAAGTAGCCCCCAAGAATGTAAATTATGGTTCTTCTGGAAAACGCTAATCTCACCTGTTGACAATAGATTAGTGGCGAAAATTTATCTAATCGAAACTCTCACAACGCGATAACGCGATAAGTTCACTTTGGTCGCGTTATCTTCAACACACTTACCTATATTAGTATTTAAATTGTTATTAAATTGTTTGTCTCACACATACTACTCACACATACTGATTTTCCTTCTAATTTTTCTCGAGATTGAAAGATATTATTTATACCTTTGAGAAGAATATTTTAGTATACTGTAATTTTTGATAAAATATTTTTTTAGCTCGAGAAAAATTAGTCGTTTTTCGAAAAATTGAGTTATTTTTTGTCTATCGTTACCACGTATTTTTCACTTTCAATTTTCTTCAACCAACGGTATCTCGCTCGATTAGCGAACAGGGAGCGACAAATCCGATTAGATGAAAATATGCGGTCTTACACGCCGTTGGAGACAAACCAGCTTTACCCGCGACCATCGTTCCATTGAGAGTAGTCAATAGGATTAGGAACGATAACAATGTGTCTCGAGTCAAGAGACCCTCGAAGGAGCGAATACTTAGTCTGTGGTTAGTTCCCCCAGATTAGATTTCGATCTCACAAACAGCCTTTCGAATTTACGAATTTTTTCCACTTTCGGAAGAAAGAATATCCTTACGTCGTAAATATCGCCATTTTAAATTAGGTACTCCATTTTTGGAATATTAATCAACCAAATTCATATGTATTCGCGTTTTTATATGTAATTTAATTTCGTTCTGAATTATCGTTGCGAAATCTAGAATAGACTTTTAGCAGAATTTTCATCGCATCTCCGTACGGTATTTCAACATTAAGATTTACGTAATCTTTCATTTATGTAGATTATTCTGTTGCAGCAGATGTTTCTCTTACGCATATTTGTTCCACGTCTCTCTATTTTCCAATCACGCAGATTCTATCGCGAATGGCATTTCGTGTATTCACATCCTCCCTTTGTTCTCATTCATCTTATTTTCGTCGATATCTCTGATCTGTGGAAATTTCACTTGCAACACCGTGAGCGTATCTATCAATATGTTCGAAGCTTGACGAAGAATCTGGAATGAAATATTCGCGTCGAAGATGCGAAAGCTCGTCAACGTCACTTTTAAAATTTCAGAATCTATAATTTGAAGAAATTATTACATTATACATAAAATCAAGATTTAATCTCTAAAGCTTCCGAAGCTGACGATAGGTCTATCGGATTCACTTAATTAAATCTCTTTGTGTGTCACCGCTAAATTATTGTTATTAAAATAAACTTATAGTACTAATTCCTTTTTTACAAGTTATGTCATTTTTGTATCATAGAGATCGTAGAGATCATAGAGGTTTAGTTGCGTGTCTACTCTTTCTGCTAAAAGATCTGGGTTCACATCCGTTCACAATCAGAACATATATCAGATAATTGATATATGTTAATCAAATGATTTTATTTGTCATCACCTCGCTCGGAAGACCAATGAGGATATCTTTGCCATGACAATCTCTACTATTAGGTCCTTTGAAATCAGCGTTAAAAATTGTAGCTCTCATATATCGACACAAGAGGTCATCATATCTCTAACAAGAGACTTAGAAGAAGAAGTCACTTTAATTTCTTGAAATTAATTTTTTAGTCAACATAAAAATTATGTGGGTTCTATATATATATATATATAGACCCAGTTTTAATAACTGTGTTACAGATTTTGATGTCTGCCGCTTCGAAGAATTAAGTGCGTATATAAAAATAACGCAAAGTATGTAGAAAAAAAGTGGACATTTAGCATATCAAGAAAAAAAAAATCCAGATATTTTTTGGACGTGGACATTTAATGGCCCACGAGATTTACTTACAGCGAAGGTTGAGGACCGCGCGAGCTTTTCTATCGCGTCCTTTCTCTCTGCGATGAAACGTGCGTATCGCGCTGTTCGTTCCACCGTCGCCAAAATCCGTCCATTTCCGATCCAATACCTCGGCATCGGGACGTCGTAAAGGGCTGCGCGTACGCAGTAAAAAAATTTGTGTTGGAAATGGTCCACTCACGTTTGTGTTAACAGTTTGTGTTGAATTTTTTAATATATTCGTGTTAATTTATAACATAATGTGATTATATTATTTAAAGATTTTTTGTAAAATTGATATTCAATGTTTCTTAGTGTCAAAATGACACAATTTATGAGTAAGTGAACGAATAAAAATAATGTGTTTTAAAACGTAAATTCTAAGACAAATGAATGAAATTATATGTTAATTTAACATATCATAAATGTTATTTTTCTGAAAAAAAATATGTTCCCACGGTATGTTTACAAACTGTATCGATGATGACTTATCTTTCTTTGTATTTATTTTCTTACATAATATTTGTGTTACCTTCTAACATATTCATCTTGTGTAAAATTAACTAAAAAATTTGAGTGGACCGTTTGGGACACGCGATTTATGTTAAATTCAACACATTTTTCCAACTGTACGCGGGGACCGGCTCCACGATCGGCGTTATAAGATCGGGCCACGTCTTTATCTAGGTTCTTTAGTAGGGGCGCGGGGTGGTAATATATTTGGTAAGCGCGGAGCGAGATAAGTGGTTGTTAGGTAGGTAGCCGCGGCGTGGTTGTCGGCCAGATAGTCGACCGGCTCCGGTAATGGAGACTGCAGGGTGCCGCTAATGCAGTAGCGATGTCACGGCGCCCGGTGCATCGGTATATTCCTCTTTTCCTCCCTTTCCGCCCTTCAGCTCCCACCTTTGCGCGGAGCCACCGGACGTATCTTCGCCGGCCTTCGCGATATCGGCCGACCTGCATGTCCTTCTCCATTTTTCTTTTTTCCCTTCCTTTCTCACTTTTTCACATCTTTTTCTCGCTCCCTCGACGCGGCCTCTCTTTAGCGGAACTCCATTGAGGACATTGGTTGATACTGAGGGAATATCTCGGAGCGATAAGCAGTCGGACGTGTGGAATGTGTTTATACTGAATAACGCGACACTGCTGGTCGCGATGAGGCTCATTTTCGTAAAGATTATTTTCCTCCTTTTCTCTCGATTAACTGAACACGAGAGATTTATTAAAGGATAGAAAGGAGTACTGCGTGTAGCCTTAATAATAGTGTACGCGTCGTACATTTGTTGTACATTTGTTTCACTCTTTGATCGCGTGAGGCAAACGTTTCGTGTCGTAATATTTCTCACCTCGAGAATCTATTTCTTTCCAACACTCACAAGTGTGAAAATCTAACAAATACATAAAAATGAAAATTGTAAGCTTGGCTGTGTCGGGATAAACGAGATTATATAGAACATGATTGTATAGAACAGTCTCAATTTATTTATTTTACAACGAATTAAATCACATGTTACATACAGTTAATTGGAAAAAGTTAAGATTGAATTTGTTTGTAAGTTAGTCCCTCGTTATTAACTAATTCAGTCTTACTCTTAACTTTTATCCGCCAATCGAGTCCCTCCGATCTAGGCATCTATCATAAAACAAGTCGAAATGGATTTCGATCGGAATTATTTGATCCATTTTCTCTAGAAAATAGATTGCCTCTTTGTATCATTTATCTCTTAACTCTATCTGTCTCGCGACTCTCAGTCATTCTTCGTATCAACTTTTCCTTACCGCGCTCTTATAATGAATCGGTAGTCAGTAATTGAAAATCTTAAGTCTTAATCTAAGTAGGTGACTAAAATTTTTCGCATCCACAATGAGTCATTAGTTGGCTCGACTACGGGAAGGAAAAAAAGCTGAAGTTGAATAGAAAATCGGTAATCATATTGTTAGTCATACGTGGCTGTTGGTCAACTTTACCGATTCATCGATAAGACTTAGAACTACCAACTACCGACTCATTGCAAACTCGGATTTACTCTAATCTTTTAATAATCTCTATCATTTTTATGTGTGAAGTGTGGACACATTATATCTTGACCTGAAGGATTTCATATTGCTGACTATTTAGTGCTATTCTAGAGACCTATTACAATATCAACATACTCTCTAAATCAGTGGATAATCACTGATATCAGTGCCAAGTATGCCACTGGTAATCAGTAAATGAAATGTGAGATCCCTAACCTAGCTGATCTTTATTATGTGATCTAACTAACCTTGTTTTAATGCATAAATTCAATGAATATGGAATTGGAAGATTGAAATTAACATGCAAATATATCAGTATTTTAGTTATATAATGCTCGAACATTCTTCCTTTATTAATTGAACTTCACTGATTATTAGTACCAAGTATGTCACTGGGTAATTAGTGATTATCCACTGATTCAGATTTAGAGAGTACTAAAACGCAGCTTTTATTTGACACGATCTGCGCAGCCTATTCGGTATGCATTACAATATAATATTGATCTCTTTCGTTCTATGTTCGCAGGATGTTCGGCAGCATGAAGCGTTGCGCGCGCTGCCAAGCGGCGATCCTCGCGTCCGAGCTGGTGATGCGCGCGCGTGAGCTCGTTTTCCACGTGCGTTGCTTTTCATGTGCGGCGTGCGCCGTGCTCTTGACGAAGGGTGACCACTTCGGCATGAGGGACGGCGCCGTGCTCTGTCGGCTGCACTACGAGATGGGCGCCGAACTGCATCCGGCCCAGAGTCCGCCGGTCCCGGTCTACCCACCCGGGCCGCACTACCCCGGCCAGCCCTTCCCCTCGCCCGAGTTCCTCCATCACCATCATCATCATCACGCGCCACCGCACCCTCATCACTCGATGCACCCCCAGCACCCGCATAGTCACGTCAGTCCGGTGCCACTGCAACCCTCCACACCCTCCATTCCCGATGCTTCTTCGCCCCCGAAGGTGCCCTACTTCAATGGCGCCGCCGCCGTGGTCCCACCGCCCAGGCAGAAGGGTAGACCCAGGAAGAGGAAGCCTAAGGATCTTGAGGCTATGACTGCGAGTCTTGGTGAGTGTGAATTTTGTAAATTGTACCTGATGTAGCGTGGGATCTGTACGAAAGAAGGTACGAAAAATAAACATCGAAATATCTAAGATTCATATAGTCGGATTTAATGTTTGGGATCGTCTTAAGTACAGTCTTAAAATGTCATGAATCAATTAGAAGAGAGTTTCAGCATTTTAAGACATTACTTAAAACGGTCTATCTTAAAATAAGAATTATGAATACCGAAAATTGTAAAATCTCGAAGTTTCTAATTTTCGAAATCTTAAAATTTTGGAAATCTCGCTGTCTTACAACTTGGAAGATTATTATTCGCGAGCCTGAAATGGTACAAGAGTAGTCTACAGATCGTGAAGTCTAGATACGTCGTCGTTCTCGAAAGGCAACCTTCTATCGCGCCACGCTGGGAGAACGCATGACCGACCTGACGTGATTTACGGGCGTGCGTGGGCGCGCGACGCTTGCCACCGAAGCCTGATAAAATTTGTCGGCGCGACATAAATTCCCGAATCGAATCCCCCGACGAAACGCGTACGCGACGTGTGGGCGGCACGCCGGTTAGGCCGAGAGAACTCAATTTCCGATTGTCGGGACCGATCGTGGGAACAAGTTGGTGGTACCAGCTGACTTCGACCAAAAAACCCCACTGCGGACGTCGAAACTTCTACTTGCCACCTCTTCCCCATGCTCCTTTTTCCGCTCATTCTCGCTGGAGGAGGCCGCTCGATGTCGCCGTGTCGTCGTGAAAAAGGATTGTAGCGGCAGGTGATCGCCCGGTACACAAGTTGGCCTCTGATCTATCGTGGATCATGCAGGCAATTTTTTATGGCCGTTGCTAAGGGCCGCGACGAACCACGCTTTCGAGGCGAGATAAATGGCCGTGTGTTTAGTAACACTTGAATTATGGTTGTAGTTCGCAGCGTGCGGTCTTGCATACGAACAAATCGTTCATACAGATTGCTTGTATTAATTGTTTAATAAGCGAAGCCACGGTACTGTACGGTCGACTGAGTAGCGAGCAGTTTCGTGTTGCCATCAGATTGCAACGCTAAAAGAGCAATTTGTTTTTATAATATAAGCAAGAGGAGAGAGTCAGAAGAAAGGCAACTATACAATCGAAATTGGGAAGATACTATAGAAATTATTTTCTGAAAATTATTTAGAAACGATAATTTATTTCACGAATCTATCAAACATCCTTCGCTCGTCACTTTTCGTCCCGATACTCGGATGCGTCTCCGCGATTCTCGGATAGAGTTATCGAATAGGCTCGGTTTCGAGTACGAGCGATCACGCTGAGCCGCAACGCGACGGAAGCGAGTTCTAACGTTGTTTGATGCGTATCACAGCTCATTAGTTTCTCGAGTGCAAAGAAGCGGATTAAAGCAGAGAAAGGGGAAGGGAAACACAGCGTATGCGAAAGGCCGGTGGATACACGGCCAATTACAGCTCTATGCAGCAAATAGTTTACAGGCACGATACCTCATTCACAGTCACGCCGGTGGCTCTATCGCGCCTCTGCCTACAACGATGATACTGTCGACATTGCGCGATTAAGCTCGAGCAAATTGACTCGGCAGGATGAAACACGAATTCGTATCTGATTCGTTCGATTCTTCTTCCAAATTAGCGGAATCTCCACGAAATAGCTTTTAGATGACTAAACTACGTGTTGACACTGTCATATATGATAGTTATATGTAATCGGCGTTTCACTAAGAGAAAAATTTTTGGTTTGGTAACTGTAATTACATATCACTAAAATTATGACTATTTTATTGCTATAACACTAGTAATAATTATATGTATAGTTCTATCGACAAATAAATGTAGTTAACAAATATAACTAACTGAAAATATCTATATATGTAATTATAGTTTATTATTATCACAAAAATAGTTGCAATTGTTATAATTTAGCTAATTTATGGTATCAAAAATGACTATAAATCATAATTATATTGTGGTAATTGCAATAATTCTTATGGTAATAATAACTCATAAAAAATCATAGTCATTTTCGGTTGTCAATCATATATACATATATATATATTTTGATATAATTAACATATAGTTATTATTACTAACAGTAATAGTCATAGTTATAGTAACATGTAATTATAGTTACAAACATCGATCAGACTTTGCAGTTTTAATGTCATTGGTGATCTATTTTGTCGAAACATTTTAAAACATTTATAAAAAATAATTGATATGTGACATAAAATTTGTATTTACATAAATATCTAGATAAACATCAAGTCTGATCAATCCTAGTCTGACTGTTCTTGATGACGATTCCGTTTCTGAATTTATTTTGCAGACCTAAACGCGGATTACATAGACATGCCCTTCGGCAGAGGTCCCGGAACCCCCGGTATGCCCGGCTCCAACAGCAGGACAAAACGGATGAGAACGAGCTTTAAGCATCACCAGTTAAGGACGATGAAGAGCTACTTCGCGATCAATCACAATCCCGATGCGAAGGATCTCAAGCAGCTTTCCCAGAAAACTGGCTTGCCGAAAAGGGTGTTGCAGGTAAATAGAGACTGTTCGGCTCATGCGATTCGCAATTCCGCGTTTTCTCTTAATGCGAGTTGAAACGCGATGTTGAAACTGGAATTTCCTCATTTCGATTTCGTTAGCTCTTAACCGTGTCGCGTTTAGCTTCGAAAGTAGTTACGCACTGATGTAATTGCGACTTTGATCACATCTAATTCTGATACAAAACATATTGTACTTTTTAATTGTAATCGTTTATCAATTATACGTATAATTAAATGTTTATGTAAATTCTTACACAATTAGATAAAATTTTAAACATTTGAAATGTTGGGTTTTCCGCAATGTTTTAAATATATCCTAAAAATATATCGAATTTTTAAAACTCCGAATGATCATAAATTTATCTACTTTAAATTGCATTCGGTACAACTGTAGTTTTTTGTAAAATTGAATAAAATTCACTGGTAGGTTTAACTTACTAGACCTTATGTATATAAATTACCATGAAAAAAATAACGAGATGAGAGTGCAAAAGAAAAATCCAAAGATGGATAGCCGGTGGTTCTCGCTCGGCCCCTTTGCCTCTCTCACATTTCGGGAGGGTGCACCCTATAAAAATATTCACGTACGCGAGTCACGCGTAGACACACGCGCTTCTCCCAATTAGTGCAGCGCGTACGGCGTGGCTGCGAAGTTAAAAGAACCGCGCGGAACGAAGCGATATTTCCGTCGACGAGAGGCTGCGGCCTTTCTCCGTAATTACGAGCCGGCGTCAATCCGGAGACAGTCGAAACCCCCGGCGGACAGCTAAGCTGCGTCGTAACGTCGAACCCGCGCCGGCTCGCTCTCGTTAATCCACTACCGTTAAATTATTAGGTTGTTACAAAAGTTTCGCGAGCGTTCCTTTGTAAAGCGTACCATAGACGCGCGGATGAAAAGAGAGAACGATCGGGCGCGGGAAATACTGACGATTTAAAGGTAAATGAGGCGAGGCGAAAAACGCAGTGGCATGGAAACGAGGAGCTTTGGTCAGGCGAGATTCTTTTCTGTTCTTTGGTTTGGCTTTTTATAAATATACATTTAATTTCAATGTCTGTTAAACTTTAGTTGTAAAGATCAAATGCAGGACTGTAAAAACTTAGAGACTTAAAGTTACGCAATCAAGAACTCCGAAATACAGAAGTTTTAATATTCTTTGAAATCCTAAAGTTTTAAATTCTTAAAGTCTCATAACAAGATTCCAAAGAGATTCCACAGAGATTTCATATTCGAAATTTTTAGCCACTGAAGATCAAATACTTGAGTACAAAGTTTATAAAAAGAGAAAAATTTAATTAAAATCTAAAAGTTTCTGACCTGAGGATATAAAAAGGTAATAAAATGAAATAATTATTCTATTCTTTAATTTATTTTTCAATTACCCTGCATTGTTAATCCATTATAAGAACATAAATTCAGGTAATTTTTAGTGGTATAGAAAAATTGATTCCAAAATAATTATTAAAATAAAATATTGAAATAAGAAATATTGAAATATAAAGGGCAATTATATATTGAAGAGTAAATAAATACTATATTTTATCTTATTTTTTCTATATCCTTGAGTTCGAAATTTTTAAACCTGATGATAAATTCTTAATACATCTCTCTCTCTCTCTCTCTCTCTCCCTCTCTGTAACGAAACCATCACTTCTTTAAAGTAAAACAAAACGTAATTTTAAAAGGCAGAATTTGGAAAAAATGACGCCGTTCAAAGATCATCGCCATGTTTTCTCCAATCTTCCGCATAACAATCATTCCGGTTGTTACATAGCCTCGATTCTGCGCCCATTCGTCGAGCCGAAGGAGAGGGTTGGAGGTGGCCGCTATTGTATTCGTAGGGTTCTTGGTCGCCATCTTGCTTGATATTGATCGCGAAACGCACGAATACTTGGCCGCCGCGCGCGCACAGATACACCGGTATAGACGCGAGCGCGCGAGCTCACGCACTCGAGGTGGGACACGCACGAGTAGTTGGTCCGCGAGTTCTTTCGTTGGAAGTCCGCGGGGGAGGAGACTGTCTTGAAAATGGCGACGTCGGATCGCATCGTCTTTCATTTATCGCGAATATAGAGGAAGCTTCACGGAGGCGCGCACGCGTGTCCGTGTGAGAGTGCACGTAAATAGGAGGAGGAACTCTTATCTAACGCTGCGCGTTTGCGGATGTTTAAGGCGTTCATGAATTCTTTCCTGCCTGGCATAAGTAACGTTGTTATCTCTCGACTATAACAACGGGTCATTTGGATCCAAAGCAAAAAATTTTAGACGATTGTACAATCTGTTACGATTGGTACTAATTGAAGTTTAAAATTGTAGATAAAACATTTTGAACCTACCTCTGTCAATCACCGTAATATGGTGAAAGTATTTTATATTTTCAACTAGTACGCTTTAGAACTTAAATGTGTAGTTTTTATAGTTTTTTTTTATTGACACGAGACGTCATCGGATGGTGAACATTAACGTACTTTCAATCTGTCACTTCAAGTCATATAACATAAAAATATTTTAGAACAGATATTAAATTATTTTTCCAATCTTCTTCACGGAATTAAACAAAGTAACTTAACTGTATTCCATCTTCCTTGTTTAATCCACGAAAATGTACTGTCCTTATCCAAAACTCCTTTTTTACTTAATTCTTCGTCTAACTTTATTCTGTCTTCGTCAAAAATGTTACTGTCATATTAAACGATCAATGTCTTTCATCTCATAACCACAGTCGCACTTGGCGCTATTTATATAGGTTTTTCTGTGCTACGATTTTTTAAGGTTATAATGGTTTGCTTCTTCATTAAAATTAAAGAATCAAGGGTTTTTATTTTCTTTAATATAAAAATTCTCAAAATAATTAATACCTGGAAAACATCCTGAATTAAAGATAATGTTTGCGTTTTATGGCATATCTCTTGTTTAAAATAGTTTTTACAGTTGAAGGTTACGAACGCAACATCACTTTACCGTTCCTGCAAAAGTTTACGTTAAGTCCATAATCAATTATTCAAATTAATCTCGTTTCCTTTCCCCTATAATTCAACCTTGCGAGCTCATATGCGAACTTCAGCGATAACTCAAGCTGTCGTACGTAACGATCGAAACCCTCTGCTCGTCTTGTTCTCAGGTTTGGTTCCAGAACGCGCGAGCAAAATGGCGGCGTATGGTACTGAAGCAGGAGGGCAAGTCCGACAAGTGCGACGGCGGAGTGGACAGCGGTAATCTCGGCGACCTTGAGCTCTATGGGGGCGGGCCGCCGATGAGTCCGCCCTTCATGCTCGGCGGTCCCCACAGTCCTGCGTCCCTGGCATCCCTGGACTGCGCGTGATCCTTGACGTCCGAGTCCGTGCTTTCTAGCTAGCGCGTCGTACATCCTGGTCCTGCAACAGGATATCGGTATTGGGACGTGCACCCTTACGGACGTGAGTGAAATCGCTGGCGAGTGCGTGGAAACAATGAATTGTGAATAGGTGGTGAGCGTGTAAAAAGGAAAGAGGAATAACTTTTCCGCGAACGTAAATTTGCGGTCGAATTAGCGAAGACCACTCGTGGAGCAAGACTCGAGGAGTGCATTTTTTGAAAGCGACTTTTTTTCTGTCGAATTGTGAGTTCTCTTTCGATGGACGAAACGTATGAAGAGCTTATTTCTCCCACGTTATTGTCCCGCGAGCCGAAAATGAACTTCTCGAGGCCCTCGCTTATCAAGACGGTATATATAAAATTTGACGCGCTGATGCGTGAATCCGTTTAATTGATAAAATCGTTGTATTTATTGTAGCTCGAATTGCGGCGCTCTGCCGCGAAACATTAAAGTCGTTCGTTGAGGGCAATGTAATTAGTGAACGAGATTTATTTATTCGCCTAAGTCTAACTAAGAATCGCGAACATTACCAGTGCTGTGAAAATTCTGCGTTTCGCGAGTTCTCGAACAATTGTCGGTTGCTGTCATTTGACAACGAGTGAAACTCTCTATCCCTCATTTACGTTTGAGGGACATTAATTGTTACATTGGTCGACGAAACGATTTATTGAATTATTGATTATCTGATACTTTTCAACTTCGCCGCATGCGTACCTTGTCATTCTGGTTTGAAAATCCCATTTTTTAAATTCTTTAATCACAATCGATATTCGCGAGTCCACACTCAGACATTTTTTTCAACTACGTGTGTTGTGAAAAATTGTTTATAACAATTTTTTTCACACAACCTTAGATCCCATATAGGATCATCAACAGTTACAACGAAATCATCGCTTATCCAATTCTATGACTGTCAACTGACGGCTAAAGTTCTGTCAACCAGTACTGGGCCATTATTAGCAAATGACTCGCTGTCAAATGACGGCCATAATTCTGTTAGCCATCACTGGTCCAATAGCTGACTGACAAATGACGGCTAAGGTTCTGTCAACCAGTACTGGGCCATCACTGCTAAATGACTAGCTAAAATGACTGGGCCCAACCCTAGTAGCACAATTCATCGGCGTAACATATCCCCAATGTATGCCAACGTTTAATCAATGTTTCGCCAATGAATTGTGCTGCTTAGGAAATTATTACCCAGTTTTATTTAGCCAGTACTGCGTAGTTTGCCAATACCTCGCCAGTGCTTGAACTGGCCATCGATAAGTAATGGTCCAGAATTGGGCTGATTGTAAAACCCTATATGGGATAATTTTGAATCATGTAATCTTATGTTCCTCGGATTTTTAAAGTGAATAAAAGATATTCAATTACGTTAAATTTGAGCAAAGATGCATTAATTTAAAGGATATTGGACCCGTGAATACAAATTAAGGAAATTTTGAAGCGAATACGAATTAGGATTAACCAAATTGACTACTAAAGGGAAAGAACGGTTTTGCTGACCAAAAAAATCCAGATACAGATTTGAAAACAATTTTATTGGACTATCAGAATAATTATGTAAGGCATTAATTGTATCAGAATATATCAAAACTTTTTACAGCTTGAGCTTTCTGATGATCGAATAATTCTTTTCAGATCTGTGTGTCCAACAAAAATTTTAGATACTTTAGCAAAACTATTCGTTCCGTATGATCTGTCGAAATAATCGAGATTTACGTTTTTCTGATTATATCTTGCAATTATTTGTGTCGCGTTTTCTCTAAAAACAGATATTTATACCGTCAAAATTGAATAAACGCACACAAATACTTTTGGAGATTAATATTGATACTCCATCGAATGCTCGAGCGAAACGCTGAATTTTGACGAGAGGATAATATTAATTATTTATAAAAGAAAAAACGAGCTGCGAACGCGCGTTATTGTAATTGTACAATATTGCTCAAGATCAGACCGCGACAAACCCATAAAGAAGCAACTCCATGGTTCGACCTGGTTATTACTGTAAATAAAGAACGTTCCTCGCGCGTTTCTTTTAAGGCACCGTTATAGGTTGTAGGGCCCTATTAATTGCATTCGGTAGCGGTCGTGCTTCTCTAGGCGAGAGGTAAAAGTAATAGTAAATGAAAATACGCAGGACACTACTGTTATTATTGCTCCTACTACAATATTAGTCCTCCTTGTAACGATGCGGAAGAATTGTCCAACTTTTGCAACATCATTTTTTCATTGAATATATTTTGACAATATACGTCGTGTGTCTGTATGCGTTTGTATTTCCCCCTACTTCACTTCCTCTCCGTTTTCCCATCGCAAATAAGTTTTCTTAAAGGATTCATTTTCGATTAATGTGCTCTCAAAGTTCCTGCGGTTAAGTTGGAAAAAGAATGGCTATTTACTGAATAACAAATGGTAGTTTTTGCGAGATTTTATTGGAAATATTAACGACGATTAATTAAAAGAGCATTAAGTTCCTACGCGTAACTTTTTTGTGCTGAAAACCTGTAATGTCGTTTTTCCTTTGGATATAAAACTGGATCTGGAATTGCATATTATTCTTTTATTCGCGAAGTTCACGGAACTAGCTCTCGACAACAGAATCTGAAACTTTCCACGAAGGAGACGCAATGGAAAGTCGCATGATGGCGTGCAAACCAACGATGGTGAACCAGAATTTCACCTAATAAAAACCGGTGCGCACATTGTCCATCCTGTCTTACCAGTTGGTCAACTGGTAAGCATAGATTCACTGACCGGCAATAATGGCAGAATATTCCAACATGCTCCATTTATAAGCATAAAAAAAGAAATACATAAAGTCGTTCCATAATATCATGTTTTTAAATTGGTCGAAAGGAAGGATTTAAATCACGAGCCTATAACGCTGTGTCTCATTCTGTTCACTGCAATTTTAGAAATGTAAATCTGTCGCATTTGCTTGGAATTTCACAGATTATCGCGGGGAATAAATACAGACATATTATTAATACAAAACCAAGTCGAATCTCAATAGCTTCACGGACATTATTCCCTCCCGTTATATACCGTCTTATTTATGAGCTTTGTTCATTCAAACTCGAGCATGCGGCATTCATTGGATTTCTTCTGGATCACGCCGTGGTGTCGACGATTTAATGGCTCGATTATGCGGAGCTATGAAAATGCATCTGTTAAAGCTGAAATTATATCCTCTATGGCGAACCGAATTACGCAACTCTGTGTAAATTACACTCGTTGAGCACAGAAGCGGTACTCTGTACGGCCATGGTGGTATTTTTTCCCTCCAGTAAAGGCTGGTAACTAGCGTCCGTTATAGGACATCATAAACATCCTACTTATCGGTCTGTTATATCTCTCCTTTTTGTTCTACGAAAGAATTGTGACACGAGAAACACGAGATTTGATATAAAAGAAGCAAGAATATAAAAATCCTTCAACTTCGGTAACAATAAAATAAAAATACAATAAGCAAGTATATGCTCTTTCGATGATTTTTATAGCGACAAATGACAGAAGTAATGGATAAATTTAATATCAATTACGATATAATAGCTGTAATTTATGATACATTAAACCTGGTAGTCGAGAGAGAAAACAAGAGGTCTCGATCAGGTACGTGATTTATTTATTTGCTTCACGCTGAGATTTTACTTGTTGTTCGGGCTACGATTTCCTGTCTACTCGTCGAGATCTGTAAAAAAAAGGTCTATATAAATGTTGTTTCACGAACGTCGCCCCGCGTTCTGATTTCTAAGAGAACTCCGCGTTCACACAGGATTGCGACGCAAGCAACGGTGGCTGCGGCGAATGGCTTTCCTTCGGCCATGCAATATGCATCGTGCTGCATTCAGAACGCATAGCGAGCGCGCCGATGCGATTTCAGCGCACGATTATTCGTTGAATTTCTATTCCAAAAAAGGACGACGGCAGATAAAAGGAACGGCACTATGGCGTCATCTGCGACGACTGAGAGAGACGAACACCCTTCGCTACCAATGTAGGTTCCGTTACTTTCGAAAAATAAAACTGCTCGCTTAGAGTTATTTTTGAATAAATATTTGAGTATACGGAAGAAACAATTTTGTTGAATTGTTAAAAAATTTAATCAGATTGAAAATTTAACCAATTTAAAAGTAATTTTGTTGGACCATCAAAATAATTACTTAGGACGCTTAAATTGATTGCTAAAATCCTTCCTCACATTTAAAAAAAAATATTCCAATTTGTATTAAAAAAACTGACAAATTATATGTATAGAGTTATAAAATTTATATACACGGAAAGAAAGATTTTGCTAAAGTATCTAAAAATTTAGTTAGAAACAGATGTGAAAATAATTTTATTGGATCATTAAAATTATTATGTGAGACGCGTTTAAACTGATTGCTAGAATGTTAAAACTTTTTGCAGCATTGCTTGAAATTTCTACAAAATTATTTTGATTCTTCAACAAAATTATTTTTAAATCTATATTTAGCTAAATTTTTAGATACTTCAGCAAAATTGCTCTTTCCGTGTAAAAATTTTGAGGGAAAAATTATACGTGTTTTTCACTATTTACACTTTCTTATCATCCATTCATTTAATTTGCTTCCGTTAAACTTTAATGTCTTTTTAATTAAAGGAACGTCTGTGTGTGCAATTTTGTCGAAGAAAATCTATTATTCCTACGTATTCGTGCACTGTTTTATTGTCGTTGTCCTTTGAAAAGAGCAGCCTTTAGGAAGATTTCCTCCTCACGGTGTCCTCTCCGGCAGTCTCTTATCCTGCGAAGAATCCACGAGAACACGATTGATGCCACGAAGGGCCGTCCGTTGCATTCGACGAAGTAAATGAGACGTCGATGTTCGACACCGTCGCACTGTCATCGACGATTTTCTGTCCGCGTAGTCCGGCATCGATCATCCGTGTTATCGGTATCTCGATCCTGGAACCGGTCAGAGGACAGAGGACAGTAAACGAGCCTCTCAACATCAGCCATGGAGATCTAGGAATCCATCGGTCGCCTCCGTCACGCCTCATCGGTTTTCAGAATGAACGATCTTCGAATGTGACTGGAACACGCGCGAGTTTGTTCCCCCATTGATTTTGATAGGAGATCGAAAATAGCTCACGATTCCGGCGCCTGTCTCAATCTCAGACTCGTGCGCCCGTGAAACTGATATTCGGATGAATATCGGATGGATGTTGAGAACTTCTCGGAATCGACATTTATCGATATAATTCTATGAGAAATCCGTAAAGATGTTCATATCTAGTTAGTGTTAATATATAATATAAATAGCAACCGATATGTGCTTAACGGAATAAATAAATAAAAATATTATATGTATTATAATATAATTTTTATTCATTTTATACATTTTTTTTCATACCTTTTTGAATTATGCGCTAATTACTCTTTGGTCATTAAACCCAAATGTTATGCTACAAAACTCGATTCCAAAGCATTTCAATTTGAAAAGCATAAATAATTATATAAATATAGGAAATTTGTTGTTATTTGAAGAAAAATATTGGATATTTAAGAAAAATTCATCAAATCTATGTAAATCGACGAATGCATTTACTTATGATTATATAATATAATATATAAAGTATTTAAACTATTGATGAAATTCTCATTTGATTAGACAGTTTTATCAATTATTATCTCTTAGAATTTTACTGCATATCTCGTAAAAGGTTCGATAAGGATTACTGACGTTAAAATTCAATCTGACATTTTCAAAATTAAGAAGGATATAAATTACGAAAGTTTATATCTTGAGCTCGCAAGAAAACGGGAAATAACGAGTAGATGAGTTCGGCACATCAAAGAATCTTACAATTAGTCGGATTGGCGACGATCAAAAAACGCACAAACACAATCGAATGAATTAAGACTTCATTCAGAATGAATAATTCCGATTGCTCACGCCAACGGCATGATTAATTATAATGGCCGCAAATAGCGATGGGAGTTATGCAAGCAATGTAGATAGTGACGAGCTGGCGATAACGCACCTTCGGGATTGCTTATTTCGCGCTCCAATTGCAGAATTTAGAATCAGCTGCGACAAATCTTTAAAAGCATCATTTGTTACTCCTAATTACACTTCTCGTGTACTTTATACTTATTATTATAATATACTTTCAAGAACGTTCCGTAATCTAAAATACATTTTGCTGCGGATCCAGTTGCATGTCACGTTTAACTTTTCCTATCTGTTCTCTTCCATCTTCATTTCACTTTAGCTTGCTTTAGCTCCCTTATCGCGATGAGAGATTCTGCGAACCGTTCTTTCCGCAACCGAGAAAGTGTAAAAAAGAGTGTCGTTAATACGCCCCCGTCACGTGACATTATTTCCTGGTGCCGGTCGTTCTCATTAGACTCCGCTTCCTGATTTTTTAATACCTCGCAGCTCTTCCGCCACGCGCGGATACACCTCACCTCGGCTTCACTTTCAGTTAGGCTCGTCGTAGCACTCGTAGCCCGTCTGGTTATCACGAGTCCTTTCTTGAGCGAAGGATACATCTC